GAATCAAATGAAGGGGTCCCATCAATCAATCTCAGATATTATTCCAAAGTAATGTAAAAACATAACAACATCCTTATTTGTCGTTGGCCTGGTTTTCAGGGTTTATGCTGTATCACATGATACAACATCAGGCAATCCCATCTCTAACTGGAGACTGGGTTCTTAGTAGCATAATTCCTCTAATTGAAAATAAATTGAGACTGGGCCAGTGGCTCACACCTATAATCCCTGCACTTTGGGAGCCCCGAGGTGAGAGCACTGCCAGAGCTGATGGGTTCAAGACCAGCCCAGGTAACTTGGTGAGACCTCATCTCTATAATAAATCAAAAAATTAGCTGGGTGTGGTGGCGCATGCCTGTAGTTCCAGCTACTTGGAAGACTGAGGCAGAAGGATTGCCTGGATTCACAGGTCGAGGCTGCGGTGGCTGTGAGCGTGCCACTGCACTCCAGCCCGGACAACAGAGTAAGACTCCAACTCAAAAAAAAGAAAATAAATTGGGGCTGGGCATGATGGCTCACACCTGTAATCCCAGCACTTTAGGAGGGAGGCAGAGGTGAGAGGATCGCCTGAGCCTGGGGCTTCAAGACCAGCCTGGACAACTTGGTGAGACCTCTTCTCTACAATAAATTAAAAAACTAGCCAGGTGTGGTGGAGCACACCTGTAGTTCCAGCTACTTGGAAGGCCGAGGTAGAAGGATCACCTGAGTCCAGCAAGTTGAGGCTGTGGTGGCCCTGAGTGTTCCTCTGCACTCCACCCTGGGTGACAGTGTGAGACTCTGACTCAGAAACTAAAAATATAATTTGAGGGAGGAGTGGTGGGAGGAAGGTGAGTATAGTTATAAAAAGGCAATTCAAGAGATCCTTGTGATGTTAGACTGTTTCATATCTTGACCATCATGGTAGATAACATGAACTTATACAGGAGTTAAAATTATGGAAAATTGGCTCAGCCTACATTCCAGCACTTTGGGAGGCCAAGGCGAGTGGATTGCCTGAGCCCATGTGTTCACTACCAGCCCAGGCAACTTGGCAAGACCTCTTCTCCACAATAAATCAAAAATTATCTGGGCATGGTAGCGTGCACCTGTAGTTCCAGCTACTTAGAAGGCTGAGGCGGAAGGATCACTGGAGCCCAGCAAGTTGACTCTGGGGAGACCGAGAGTGTGCCACTGCACTCCAGCCTGGGCAACAGAGTGAGACTCCAACTCAAAAAAAAAAAAAGTTACGGAGAATTTAATACACACACAAAAACGGTAAGTACATACAAGTAAAACTGGGAAAGCTGAGCAAAACTGGTAGATTGTATAAATGTCAATGTCCCAACTACAATATTATGTTCTACATTTAATAGTAGTAGAGAACGTTTTCTGTTGTGGTGGTTTTGTTTTCTTTTATTTCTGGGCTCAAGTGATCCTCCCACATCAGCCTCCCAAAAAGTCCTAGGATTAAGGGCATGAGCCACCATGCCCACCTGAGAAAGTTTTTATGTGGCTGCCATCACTACCAACATGTTCAAGTTTTGGAATTTCACGGAACATTGTCTCATCTGGATGTTCCCCTATGTCCCTAAAGCCTAGACATCTGTCATTCTGAACTACAAAAAACAGTGACCAGTACTTATGGTCAATTCCCAAAATACTGAGCATTTCAATTATTTGTATCATATCATGGCTGACAAAGTGTCTTCGTGCAGAGAGGAGTTTATATTTTAGTTATTTTCTTTAGTCACTTCTTTTTGAAAGGACCTCAGCATAAAGCAAGTCCCTAACCCTTAAAATGGCGAGAGAAAGCAGACACTTACCAAACCAAGAATCTATGTTTTGAGAATCTTCCTCATAATCCAAAGATGTAAAATTGATGAAGTCCGTAGGAGCATCAAAGGAATAAGAGGTTTTATCTTGCGACATTATCTCCCAGTCAGTCAGAAGATCAAGTTTTTTCCAGTATTCGTATCACTTTTCTCAACAGGTCACCTTCTGAGGAAAGAACTGGTTTAGAAACTTGGTTGCACATTAATTGAAAGTAACTGATTTCCTGGTAATTACTTTGGTTTTACTACAATGCTTGCCATTTTGTAAGTCACCTGGAACTTACATATTTTTATGCTTTACTTTTGTCCCATCAACCTAAAAGTTAGTTTTTTGGGATTTTGGTAAATAATCTTGAAGGTAAATAAGTTTGAAATTAGGAAGGCAAGGTTTGATGAGTACCTACCAAATGCAATTCACTGTTCTCGGTGTTTTACATTCATTTTGTCATTATTTTCCTTCAACCTGCCATTTTCTTCATTTCTAGACACCTTTCACACAAGTGACTCTCCCCCTCTCTTCCCTGAATAACCCAACATCTGAAACACACCATTAAGTTTTAAACCTACTGGCCAAAATCTAACTTATTATGCAAAGTCCAATTCAAATCCCTCTGATCTCTTTCCTAATTCCTACCAATCATGTATTGTTATGTATCCAAAGTCACAGTGCTTTTTTACATGTCTATTAAAACACTTTTTTTTTTCTGAGTTGGAGTCTCATTCTGTCACCTAGGCAGGAGGGCAGTGGCATGCTCCCGGCCTTTGCAGCCTCAACCTGCTGGTCTCAAGGGATCCTTCTGCCTCAGCCTTCCCAGTAGCTGGAACTATAGGCGCGTGCTACCATGCCCAGCTAATTTTTTGATACATTGTAGTGCTGAGGTCTCACCAAGTTGCCCAGGCTGGTCTTGAACCTGTGGACTCAATCAATCCTCTAACCTCAGTCTCCCATAGTGCTGGGATTATAGGTGTGAGTCAAAGCGCCCAGCTACTAAAACATTTAAAATCCAATTTTATATTCGTTAACTATGTAAATGTCTCTTCCAGTAGACTCTAATTTCCTGAAGACAAGGGTGGATTTTACTCAATTGTGTACGCCTCATCCATCCATCAGTGTGCTTAGCACAGTACGTTATGCATAGTCAGAGCTCAAAACACTTTTGCCAAATACAAGTTTTATTTATTTATTTATTTTTTTAGTTGGAGTCTCACTCTGTCACCCAGACTGGAGTGCAGTGGCCACTCCCGGCCACCACAGCCTCGACCTGCTGGGCTCTGGTGATCCCTCTGCCTCAGCCTTCCAAATAGCTGGAACTACAGGCGTGCGCTACCACACCCAGCTAATTTTTGATTTATTGTAGAGATGAGGTCTCGCCAAGTTGCCCAGACGTGTCTCGAACCCACGGGCTCAGGCAAGCCACTCACCTCAGCCTCCCAAAGTGCTGGAATTACAGGCTGAGCCAACTACCCCGGTTAAGTTTTCTTTTCTTAGAAATATTTTCGAAAAATAATATTTCTGGGCATGAAGAAAATAACTTTGAAATACACATAAAAGGAACAATATACAGAATAAGTAAAAGGAACAAGTCAACGACTTATACACTCCCACTCCTGTGTACAACTTTGCACTCTAGTCTATGGAGACCCATCCCCTACTCCAGCCCTACCTAGTTAATAAAATAGCTGAAAGTGAGCTGAAATATAGCCTAAAGGCTACACTTGCTGGCAAATAATTTGCCTATGAAACCCAATGAGCCATTTGTCTTTATCCAGGGAACAACATGTACTTAAAAGTATTCAGTAACTTGGAAAGGGAATAGATACCAGCAATCCATTGCATAAATGTTTATTAAGTTAGTACCTTTCTTTAAACTCTTATCATAAAAAGACATGTCTATTAAACAAATAGATAACAAGAAGATTTTATTAAAAAATAAGGCCGGGCACAGTGGATCAGGTCTATAATAATAGCACTTTGGGAGGCCGAAGTGAGAGAATTGCCTGAGTCCAGGGGTTCGAGACCAGTCTGGACAACTTGGTGAGACCTCATCTCTACAATAAACCAAAAAAATTGAGCTCAGGCACTTCTTTCACCTCGGCCTTCCAAGTAGACTTGGAAGGCCGAGGTGAAAGAAGTCCTGAGCCCAGCAGGTCAAGGCTGCAGTGGACGTGAGCATGCCCTGCACTCCAGCCTGGGAAATGAAATGAGACTCCTACTCAAAAAAAAAAAAAGATTTAAAAATTAAAACCTATCCTAGCCCGTGAATTCTAGTTCAGCCTGGGCAACTTAGCGAGACCTCATCTCTACAATAAATCAAAAAATTAGCCGGGCGTGGTAGTGCGTGCCTGTTGTTCCAGCTACTTGGAAGGCTGAGGCGGAAGGATCGCTGGAGACCAGCAGGTCGAGGCTGTGGTGGCCGGAGGCAGCCACTGCATTCCAGTCTGGGCAACAGAGTGAGACGCCAACTCAACAGCAACAAAAAAATTAGAACCTATAATGCCGCACTATTACAGAATTCTCCCTCAGATGTATACAAATGATGATGATGACAATGATTTTTTTTTTTGAGTTGGAGTCTCATTCTGTCGTCCAGGCTGGAGTACGGTGGCACACTCATGGCCACCCCAGCATCGACCTGTTGGGTTCTGCGAGCCTTCCACCTCAGCCTTTCAAGTAGCTGGAACTACAGGCACATGCTACCACACCTGGCTAATTTTTTATTTTATTGTAGAGACGAGGTCTTGCCAAGTTGCCCAAGGCTGGTCTCAAACCCGCAGCCTCAGGCAATCCACTCGTCTCGGTCTCTCAAAGTGCTGAAATTACAGGCTGAGCCACCAAGCCTGGCCAAACAATTATTATTTAAAACTAGATAGATCACTGACATTTGGAATCTGCCATGCATATTACATTTTTCTGTGTCAATATAGACATATCATTAATGAATGTACCATAATTATGTAGCCCACCTTAAGCCTTTTTCCAATATCTTTACTTTAAAGACACTTCTAGAAGAACAGCCTTGTAGCTAAATGTCTGTATACATCCATAATTCCACCCCTAAGATAACAATCTTAAGAGATGGAATCGCTGGGCCAAAGGACCTTGATGCACACTGTGAAAATCTTCCTCAGAAGAAGACTCACATTACCAGAGGAATGTGCCAGTTACCCAAACCCTCACCAACTAAGGGCATTAACAACCTTCAGTGCCCATTTTGTCTCAACTATACCACTACGGCTATACTGTAACCATCGTCTTTTCATATAAGCCATAACAGCCACGTTTCTCTGTCACTTACAGCCAAAAGCAATCCCAACTAACACAGAAGTCCAGAATTTTAACCCTCTCTCTGGCATTTCCTACATGTATATGACAATAGGTAAGTCACTCAAACTCTCTGCCTACCTGCTTCCCATAAACAACTGAGACGGTATATCCAGTGCTATGTACTACACTACCATAAGGCATTAACACTGTTGATCACTTTCTTCTCATTTCTATTCAAAGGACTCAAGTGAAAGATTCCTCAGTGACTGTCAGTGGTTAAAATTCCCTTGCTGCAAGGAGGAAGTTTTCCTGTTCTTGTGAACAAACATGCTAGAAGACATGGGAAAATCTCAGATTCCCATGATCTCAATGCCTTACCCAGGTCACTGGGAACACTTCCCACACAGGAATGTAATGAAGACAACTAAAGCTTGGGGGAGGGAAGAGGCAAGAATGTAATATGCAGCAACCCCACTTAGCCTCCTAAAAGCCATGATTCCACCAAAGCATGCTGCTTGAAAACCACCTGAAAAGTGTTCAAAGTCAACCCCTAACACTCTTTTTCCTAAAGGGATCCTCCCACCTCAGCATCCCAAGTACCTGGGACTACAGGCACATGCCACTGTGCCCACCATTCTTTTTCTTTTTTTTTTAATTATGAAGCCACACCACCAGTCTCTTTGGATGGCAATTTGCATTTTTCCTTTCAACACCTCTTAAGAAATATAGAAACTTATCTTGTAGGCATGTATTTATACATGTGTAAGTATAAGAAAGTTTACTATAGCATTGTTCATAAAAGCCAAAAAACCTGAAAACCTAAATTCCACAGACAGATTGGTTGAAAAAATTATTGCACAACTGTATAATGAAATACAAAGTAACTTTATTATTAGGTGACTGTGCATAGGTAGCAATATGTACTGAATAAGCTCTAAGCGTGCTATTAAGTGAGAAAAGCAAAAATGCAGAAGAGTGTGCTCTCCCATTCATTTTTAAAAGAGGGAAAAGGTAATATATACTTACATATCCACAGACTGCTTATGGAAGAAGACACAAGTGCTAACTTTAGTTAGATCTGTGAAGGAGACTGGGAAGTGTGGGTTAAGAGAATATTTTTAAAGTACATGAGCTTTTATTTATTTTGAATGTCTTATTATTATATAAATGCATATAATTTAGTTTATTTATTTATTTATTTATTTATTTATTTATTTTTGAGTTGGAGTCTTACTCTGTCGTCAGGCTGGAGTGCAGTGACATGCTCATGGCCAGCCACTGCAGCCCTCAACGTGCTGGGCTCAAGCAATCCTTCCGCCTCAGTCTTCCAAGTAGCTGGAATTACAGACATGTGCCACCACGACCAGCTAATTTTTGTTGATTTATTGTAGAGATGAGGTCTCACCAAGTTGCCCAGTCTTGTCTTGAACCCCTGGGCTCAGGCAATCCTCTTATCTCTACTTTTCAAAGTGTTGAGATTACAGGCGTTAGCCACCGCACCCAGCATTTTTTAGTTTAAAACAACCAGTTAAGCCATATTTATTTTCCTCAAATCTGTTTGCGGTACAAAAGACATTAGTGTTTCTGCAATTTATATACAGATATGTATATATATATATTTTTAGTACAAGTTTTACTCTGTCGCACAGGTTGGAGGATACTACTTCCGCCTAAGCCTTCCAAGTTGCTGGAACTACATGCACATGCCACTGTGCCCAGCTAATTTTTTTTTAATTTGTTACAGAGAATATGTCATACCAGTTTGCCCAGGATGGCCTAGAACTCCAGTGCTCAGGCAAACCTCTAGCCGTAGCCTCTCAAAGTGCTGGAATTACAGGCATGAGCCACCACCCCCAGTCAAGTTTTACTATTCAGGATAACCTAGCAATAATTATCTAATC